CTCTCTCTCTCTCTCTCTCTCTCTCTCTCTCTCTCTCTTTCTTTCGTGCTTTTATCAATTCTTTGAATTGGTTTCTGAAACACTCAGGATATTGATTAAAAACAACTCCCAGTATTTTTGGATTTTTCTATACTATAGTTCAACAGTTATTATTTTATTTACATTTTTCTATACAAAGGTAATCTTTAATTAACTAAACACTAAGTTATTTGTACTACATTGCCATGTACTTCATTATGTTCTCTGATTTTCCTTTTTATTCCTGTCTCAAGTATAATTTTTAGTTTTTTTAAAAAAATATTTTTAAAAAATATCTTTATTTTATTTATTTATTTTTATGTGGTACTGAGGATTGAACCCAGGGCCTTGCACATGCTAGGCGAGTGCTCAACCCCAGCCCCTTTAGGTTTTTTTTAACTAATGTTTTTTTATTTATATATGACAGTGGGATGCATAACAATTCTTATTACACAAWTTTTTATATTTCTGGTTGTATACAACGTTCATTCACACCAAGTCGTGTCTTCAATTTTTAGGTTTTTTAAAAATAGAAATTTTATTGTATAGGGCTTTTTGGTTTTTGTTTTTCAGGAATTGAGCCCAGAGCTTGCACATTCGAGGCAAATGCTCTGCCACTGACCTGTGTCTCCAGCCTTGACATTTTACTATGTTCTTAAGTGTCATAGCCTTATCAATTAATATAGGAATTTTAAGATAAGTGCCTMTCATATGAATAGGTAAAAGTGTGATTGCTTTTAATAAGGAAGCAATAAAATATGAATGACCCTTACTAACATATGTAAGTCTAATTTTGAATATACTAGTGTGAAGTAGAAAACTTCGGAAACTCTTATCCCTGAAATATAAAAATATCTTTTAATTGTCAAGGGCAGAGATCTTTATTGCTAAAGTATAGTTGTTATTCACTGTTAATATCTATGTGTTAATAGCTGAACCTATACGGCTGTGAAATGTACTGTAACTATTTGGTATTTTGAGGGCTCTCTTTTAGTTAATCAAAGTGCTGACAGTAAGTGGTGGTGATGGTGGAGATAATAATATTGGTATTGGATCATGTTGGAGGTGATAGCAGGAGCAATAGCAGCAGTACCTTACTTTTACATGATATTTGGTATCTTAGAAAAAAATTTCACATATACTATCTATCTAACTCTACTTATTTGATATTGCTGTAAGACATGTAAAAATCTTTTTTAAATTATTTTTTTAGTTGTAGATGGACACAATACCTATCTACCTACCTTTTTTTTCTTTAATGTGATGCTGAGGATTGAACCCAGTGCCTCATATGTGCCAGGCAAGCCCTCTACCACTGAGCTACAACTTCAGCCCTGTGAAAATCTTTTTTTTTTTTTAATTGCAGTTGGACATTTACTTATTTATTTTTATGTGGTGCTGAGGCTCGAACCCAGCGCCTCACACATGTTAGACGAGTGCTCTACTGATGAGCCACAACCCCAGCTCCCCCTGTGAAGATCTTTAAGTCTCACCAACCACCTGTATTTTTATGTAATTCTAACTTTACACTGAATTAAATTAAAGAACTCTTCAAGGCTTGGTGTCCCAAAATTTGGTAGGATTTTACCCAGACTTTGATTCTGTTATTTCAATTACTTAGGCAAGAAAAAAAAAAAAGAGAGAGAGAAAGAATTTAAACCCAAGCAAGCAAATAGTATGTTTTGCTAAAGGATAGTTGAGGGAAATGGAGGTAGTTGTACTCTGTCTTAAAGGTAAACGATTCCTTGTCCCTAGTTGTTAAATTCAAAAGGCTCTAAAATTGGAATGACTTTTAGTTACTGTTGGTGGCAAACCTATTGCAACTTGCTCTTATGGCCAAGAAAACCTGATTTCAACTAATTTAAGACTATTTATATTTTTTATTTGTCTTCCTTGAAATAGTCACATGTTTTGTAGCAGGAATAGCAAGTCATATGATTATAGACATAACTGGGATTTCATTTAATTATGTATCATTTCTGTATTTTTTCTAAAATAAAAATATGTACTTGTGCCTAATATTTTTATAAACATAGCTAGTAAAATACTGAACATAAAATCAGCATATAGTATTTGTTATTGGTTGTTATTGGATATTAAGGTGGGTTGTTTTGTTTCTTTTCTTTTTAAACTCCTTTCCCCCAGATACTTACCTTCTGCAAATCCTAATGATAACAGAACCAGTTCCAATGTGGATAAAAGCTTGGTAGGTATTTTCTTATTTGCTTTTTAAAAATTGTTTTACATATCATGTATTTCTGTGTGTGRTACTGAGTAAGCTTATGTGTTGCTTATGAATGAGTGGTTATTGCACTTAGATTTTTCTGGCAATTTTAATCTCTTGTCTCCTTTCTGATATGAATTTTTCTGAATATCAAATGAAATAATTTATGTAAAGACAGTAAACTAAATTGCTACACAGATTGACAATAGTTGTCTTTTTAATCTTTGGAATCAGTAATATAAGTATTTCATCACTCAGGGTCTAGACATGGAAGATTTAAATGAAGATTTTTTTGTATTAGTAAAGTAACTATAACATAAAATTTACCATTTTAACTATATTTTAAGTGTATACAGTTCGGAGACATTAAGAACGTTCACAGAATTGTGCAACCATCCACTATCCTTCTCTAGAACTTTTTCGCATCTCAAACTTAAATTCTGTACCCTGAAAAAAAAAAAAAAACTCCCCATTTCACTCTTCTTCCAGGCCCTTATAACTATTATTCTACTTTCTGTCTCAATAAATTTTGATTATTTACCTCCTGGAATTACACAATATTTATCCTTCTGTGACTGGCTTATTTTTTTAGCATAATCTCCTTAAGTTGTTGTGGTATATATCACAATATCCTTTCCTTTGTAAGGCTGAATCTTATCCCAGCAATTATTTTAATCACACTTTGTTCATGAATTCATTAAATGAAGTTTTAATGGAAGTACTGTTACATTGTGAACATCAGCATTGGTTAAAAACAGTATGAAGCCATTGCTCCCATAGTTGAGGCAAAGAGAAAATCCTGTAGTGATAGCTCAGAGAAAGCCTAACATCATAGAAGAGGAACATAAAACACTTCCAAAGCTATGGTAAAGCCAGAAGGATATGGAGAAATAGATACTTCATTTCTCTACCCTCTGATTTCCTGTTGGTCTGTCCCATGGTTTGAAACCAACTTCAAAATGATAGGGCAACAGAGTATTGCAGTTTGTAGGTTTTAAAGCAAAGATGAACAGAGGATAGATCTTCAAGACTAGAAGGTTGTTGGGAAAATTTAATTTTTCCACTGGGATTTAAATTACTCTAGTAAATACATTTTAATTGTGAGTTCTTCTGTTGCTCTTATGGTTCATGTTTATGAGAGAGGTTTTGTTGTTTTTTAAAAACTCTTATTTGTTTACATTTGAGGAAATTCTTTCTTGTTAACTAGGACTTTTCTGGAAAAAAAATCAGGAATAATCATTAGACCATCCTTAAAACATTCCTTAAACACTGTACTATAGCCTRCATGGTTTTTTAAATATATTTTTTAGGTTGTAAATGGACACAATATCTGTATTGTTTGTTTGTTTATTTTTATGTGGTGCTGAGGATCAAACCCAGGGCCTCACACATATGAATGAGGCAAGCACTCTACCACTGAGCTACAACCCCAGCCTGAGCTTATGTGTTTTAACAGAGGATTAGAGAAGTAACAACATTTTTTAGAAGCTGGTACAGTTCTTCTCTTTCTCTGATGTATTTAGTTTTAAATGTAGAAAGATAAGGTGAGAAAAAGAGGAAAGAACTGTGTGAGTTACTTGTTTCTCTTTTAAATTTTCATCACAAAGAGCTCGTAAGTAAGTTATATAGCTCACAAGGCTTTGGGGCTCAGATGTCATTAAAATAAAAGCACTTTTGATCTAGGGAAGGTAATATTAAGGCCTTGCTGTAACCCAGCTCTCACAGCATTGTATGATTAAAAGTACATTAGATTTCAGGGAATGGAAGGGAAGGGAGCAGAGATAGAAATAGAAAAGACAGTGGAATGATTCGGACATACCTTTCCTATGTACATATGTGAATATGTCATAGTGAACCTCTACATCATGCATAACCACAATACTGGGATCCTMATTAGAAGAAGATGTACTACATGTTTATATAAACATCAGAAGGCACTCTACTGTCATGTTTAACTAAAAAGAAAAACAACAAAAAGACTTCAGAAATATTCAAAGGATTTATCTTTTGGGCTGATTCTGTTCAGTGGTGATTGCTGTAAGTTACTGTCAGTGGCTGCTTTTTTATCTTTTGCTCTGGTAAGAACAGAGGGAACTAAGTACAGAAATCAACTAATTTAATTTTCAACTTTTCCTTGCAAGTGTTTTAGTTAAAATTCTAACAACTTTGCAGTTGCCAAATATGATGAATAATTTTTTTTGCTGCATTTGATATTGACTACTCTTTCTTCTTTGAAACTTTAAGCTTTTATAATTCTTTCATGTTTCTTTTATTTCCTTCCTTTCCTCCCATCTTTGATTTTTAAAAATTTATTTATTTTAATTGTAATGGACACAATACCTTTATTTTGTTTATTTACTTTTATGTGGAGGTTCAAACTGAGGGCCTCACACATGCTAGGCAAGCGCTCTACCACTGAGCTATATACCCCCAGCCCTGCATCCTTGAATTTTATTTTCATTCCTCTACTCAATTATTAAATGTTTCCCAGAGTTGTGATCTTGTCTCTGCTCATTTCWATTGGTATTCTCTTGTATATCTACCTTCTTCCTCAAAGCTTACAAAAACTCGTCTCTTTTGGATACATCTCTGGCCTCTCTAAYAAGGCTAAAGCTAAACACAATTTTTCTCTCTCATGCCCTACCAGCAATAACTTTTGTGTTTCTTGCTTTTCATAATGGTACTATATATGTTCTCTCTCATTTCTAATTATTTTTGAGGTCATAAATCTGCTTTCTAATTGAGATTTATCCATTTCTTCCTCTTCATAACTACAACCTCTTCTTTATATCAGATCAATATTCACTCTTACTGGAACTTTTTCAATAGCCTGTTAACTTGTTGTTCTTTCTAGAATTTCACTTCCCTTTAATCTACCTTATTATTGAAGTTTGGTTTCTGAGATGCCAATGTTATGTCATATATTGCTTATAGGTTAAAGTTTCCAATCAAGGAATCATGGTCCCACACTTGTCAGGTTTGATAAGAGTTATTTTCTCTCTTGTATACTAAACTCTGCCATATTTGATTTCTTCCCATTTCCAAAATTTGTTTTCTTCTACCTCTACTTTTGGTCTGTATGTTCATTCTGGCTGAAATATCTTCTTTCTACTACCGTCTCTTCTGGGTAATTTTTTCTCATGTTTTGGTATTACTTCAAGCATCGCATATTTCTGGCAGAATTAGAAGTCACTCACCCTTCTGTCCTTCAGAATACTATATTATCACCTACCATGGATTCATATTTTGTACATATCTTTGGGTCATTGTGGCTTTTTTTTTTTTTTTTTTTTTTT